CCGCTATCAGTGTGACCCTTCAGACCTCTCAAAATGTACCTACATTTAACCTCCTTACTTTCCCATTTATTTGTTTCTAAGAGTTAAAAATATGACTTCTGGACGTATTTCTCCCAAATTGTACATTTGTTATGCATAAATCTACATTAAAAACAAGATGTCACGCTGAACCTATGAACAGCTCTACTGTGATATCAACGTGTCCTTTCCTTTATGTCCAGCCCTGCACGAGTGAAGCAATGGCAGGAAACTGTTGGCCTCAGTTTGGGTGGATGTCATGCATGTTTGTGAGTGAGGTTCTAAACCGTAATGGCACCCTGAGATTAGTATCCTAAAATGTTCTCTTAAAGTCATTCTGTCTGCTGTGCGTCTATCAGGTGTTCGGATAACGTTTAGCTGGTGTGTTAGAGTGTGTGAGCTCCTGGAGGACTCGAGGTCACCAAAAGGACTCGGTGAAAGCTCCTTGGCGAGCTCACGTCACAGCAGCTGTCTCTGTTCTTAAAGATAAACTTAGGTGTCTATGGCTTCAGGGATTTACCTCTCTATAAAGACGGCGTGGGTTTCGGTTTCTGTGAAGCGTGTGCGCCCATCTTGGGTCTGTTTAAAAAATAAAAAATAAATCTACACCGTGTCCTCGTCCATCCTGGCCACGTTCTCCAGGGCGACGGCCTCAGGTGCTTTCTTCTCCGCCGCCTCCTCGTCAGATTTTGACGGAGAAGGAGGCGCCAACATGGCGGTGAGCTCCTCCTTAGGCTCCTCCCTCTCTCTCCTCTCCTCCTCCTTCTTCTCCCGCGCCAGCATGCGGTAGTTGATGGTCATTCCTACGAAGAGGATCCCACTGGCGACGATGAGGATGATGCCGGAGGAGACGTAGGTGTAGTCGTAGTGCTCGTAGTAGTTATAGAAACTTCCTGAAGGTGGACAACAAAGAAAAACCATTCAGATGTAATCTTCATTTTCACCATCAATAACGAGCAAACTGACAGACATTAAAGTAGGAATGACGCTGCCTGACTTTTGTCCACTTCCAAATTTGCAACAGTTATTGTTTTTCCATTATATATTAACTTAAAGATAATTGTTTTCCCAATTAAATGTCAAAAGATAGTATAAAAAAACTCCCTAGAGCACAAGTGCTGTCTTTGTTTTCCATCAACATCAAAAATCAATCATGACAGAAAACTGAAAATGGTCACATTTGAGAAGTTAAAAAGAGCATTTTTTGCTATAAATCCATTATAAAAACTGTTGTTTTTTGTCTGATGGATAAATAATTGTGTCGACTTACAACTGCAGCGGTGAAGTGAAGGAGGGTTATGCTGACAGAACAAAGGAACACTAAGAGCTTGAACGTGGTAAACATTATACATGTTACCATTGACACATCTGTGGTAGGAAACAATGTGTGTATGCTCAGTGTATCGAGAGTCTGACTAATGTACTGTTTGCAGAGATTTATCCACAATAATAAAAAAAACAAAACGCATACTAGATTGGCAGTCTGAGACAGCCCCATACTTTTCTTTCTTCCTGCTTCACATTGACCGATACTCTGTGTATCCCTTATTGTTCTCCCATGTCTTCATTGTTTTTTTTAGTTACTTCCTATTCTACTCAACGTGAATTGTTTGTATTCCTGTTACCTGTGACTTTTTGATGAGTTATTTATTTTATTGTATTTATTATTTAGTGTATTTGTATTGTATTGTTTTGTGACCATGACCTAATGGGGTAGGGGTGGGGATTTCCTTTAACAGACAAATTGTCCTGTACTTTATATAATGTGCTGAAAGTGCCAGGTCTGCATATAAGTAAAAGAAACATATACAAGAGTGAAGTTCCTCCCTTCCTGTGATGCATTGTGGGTGTTTTACCTGTCAGCGGTGGTCCGAGCAGCACCGGCCCACACTCCACGATGGTGACCAGCCCCACGGCGGAGGAGAACCTCTGCGCTCCCACCAGGTCCATCAGCGTCTCAAACAGCACGGCGCTCAGCCAGCCGAACGCAAACCCGAAGAAGATGGCGTACACCACGAAGCCGGTGTAGTCCACGGAGAGCGGCGCCAGCACGTGGCACACGCCGTTATAGAGCACGGCGGCAGCGAAGAAGTACTGGATCCTGGGCCGGACCCACTTGGTGTTGGCCAGCATGCCCATGGAGGGCCGGGCGACCATGTCCACGAAGGCCAGCACGGACAGCAGGAAGGCCGCCTTCTCTTTGCTGATGTCCTTACTCTTGGCGTAGTTAGAGAGGAAGACGAGCGGCGCGAAGAGGCCGAAGAACATGACCACGTTCCCCATGAGGTAGAGCAGGAAGCCGCGGTGTTGGAACAGCGTCAGGTCGATGAAGGAGTTGATGGTCTGCATGACGGTCTTCTTCTGCTGCGGCGCGACTGGCTCCACGGCTTTCACCTCGCTGGCCTCTGCGTCGAGCTTGGCTTTTTGGGGCGAGGGTTTGAGGGGCCGCATGAGGGCGCCGGCCACGCAGCAGTTGAGCAGGAGTCCCCCGAGGATCAGGAAGCTGCCCCTCCAGCCGAACTGGTCGAACAGCCAGGTGTTGAGCGGGGCGAGGGTGGAGAGGAACACCGGGCTGCCCGCCATGGCGATGCCGTTGGCGATGGGACGGCGCTTGAAGAAGTATTTACCGATCATGGTGAGGGCGGGGTTCAAGTTAA